CCCCAAAACCCCAAAACCCCAAAACCCCAATTTACTGATTTACAACTGAAACTTGCTATCACCTAGACCCTTATGTTGTCATTGGAGTATAAAGAGGTTTGGTTCACACCAAAAAGATGCAAGTCTCTCATATTTGACTCGAACTAAACTGCTCTGTGTCTGTCGAGAGCAAGCAGAGAGAATTCCCTGAAGCACTTTTGAGATTTTAGCAGGAAAATTTGGAAATTTTAGGAAGTAGCCAAACCAATGGTTTGAGAAATTGCTGAAATTTTAATTGAACTTTACTGATAATTCAGAAATGAAATTTGACTAAAAGATCAGATTGAGAATTATGCCTGTAGATTCATACTATTGAAAGCATTAATTTCAGATATAGACCTTGACATACGAGAGTTTACAAGAAATTATATTAAATGGTATAGCTGATATTCTGGATTATTATTGATCAATTTTATGCTTATCTATCAATTCAAGCATCTTGGTCTCCACACAAAGACATCTGAAAAGCAGTTCCTTTCCCTTTCTCCAGGTTCTCAAGCATCCGACATCAAAGGCTACAGGTCTGCTCAAATCGAGCAAGAGGTTATCGACTTCTTTTAAAGATTCCTTTGAGTCCATCTTAAATTCTGGTGAAAGGATATTTTCAAACTGAAGATTTATAGAAGCAACAACTTCCTTATCTCTGTAGCTCTTCCTTCCGAGATTGAAGTAGTCCTTGAGGAGAGATTTCATATCATTGAGGACTTTCAGAATGCACAAATCCTCGGCTTGTCTTGAAGTATCAGGAGTGGCCAGTGGTAGCAAAATCTTGAATCTACTCCTTGGCTTGGTCTTGTTAGCTTCGTTTTTGAATTCATCCAGGTAATCTTGGTAAGAATGCTTCTTTGAAAATTTCCGATACACAAAGGAATACCTATGCATTGTTAAAGCTAAGCTTACATCTCAAAATTATTCAGTGTGTTATTTCAGCTCAGGATTAATAAAACCATTGATAGACTCAACCAGGCTTCTAATGCTCAATGAGTACTTCCACTCATACTCATCATCAAAAGTATTGCAGCGGAGGTAGACCCTTCTTGGATCATGAATGAACCCAAAGAACTCGACTGATTTATATCCAAGTATCTTCTTAGCAGTTCCTAGCTTTGAACCAACAAAGTCTTTCTCAAAGCCAATTCTGGCACAGTCCTTGATATCTGTTAAGCAGTCATTGACCTTCTCTTTCTTTGTGGGATCATTCTTAAGCTCTTCATCTAATTGTAACTGAGATCCTTCGCTCTCAATCGTCAAAAGATTACACTCGGCCTTGTAAATATTGCTAGAAGGTGACTTGGGATATCTTACAAGCTGCTTATCATCATCTTCTTGGCAATCTTACTACAGTGAAGCTGGAAGCAAGCTACAGAATATTAATCTCAGCTATTCAAGGGCGTATCTAAGGGCACAACGGGCTACAAATACTTACCTTCTCCAAATGATCTACTCTCGTCATATATGTTTTCAATAAGCGCATCCAAGACATCCAGCTTATCTTTGAAGGTCAGTTTTGAGTAAAAATCGAACATTGATGCATTCTCATTTTCTAAGAAAATGAGTGGAGATCTTACCTCATAATTCTAAGCATGATGCTGGTAAATAATTCAGCTTAAAAGTCTTCGCTCAAGATTCATCAGCCTAAAGATTTAGTAAAGAGGTTACATAAATCATGAAAATATTGAACCATGCTAGCTCAGCTTGCTCAGGCCGCATCTGATGATAAAAAGAGATAGTCTTGTTCTTTCCTTTACTCTGAACATACTTGTCCCATCTTTTGACGAATGAGCTGAATATATGGTTCAGCAATGGATTCACTTTTAGCTCCTGGCTGTTTAGGGATATATACATCTCAATAGGAGTGAACGGTCTCATGGGAAAGAGATACTTAAATGTCATAAAGAACTCATATTGGCTCATCATTCTGTCAAAGTTATCCTTGTCCACTTCCATCTCAGGTATAACATCAGTAATGAGTTTATCAGTAGTGAACTTATAGTTCTCAGGATCCATTACTTTCTCACAAAGCTCATCTATGTCTGAAGGAACTTGACAAGTAATGCTTGAAACCTTTGAAGTACGCATATTTCTATGGATCTTTGCTGAATTCTCAGTGAACTTCTTACAAAAATATTCACTAAGTCTGCATCTAAGATATGGATATTTTCTCCCAATCAAAGTTGTCAGGTATTCTGCTTTAACCTGCTTTTGATATTCTGGATCTTGGAGCTGCTTGAGCTTGTTTAACTCATCCAGGAAAGTTTCATCCATGTGTCCTCTCTTTAGAATAGCGGCAGGAGTCTTAGCTTTGTCCACTGTTCAGTCACTTTGGCTCATTTCTTGAGAATCGCTATCCTCCACTGCATTCTGAACAAGAGACCTAGAGGCTGGTATCCAATTCTGATGCTTATTTGGTCTCTTTTGGGTTCTAGTCCTAGATTTCAAGGTACTTTGCTCATCAAAGTCTTGCATCTGATAACTAATTTGTAAATATTTGATACAAGTCAATTTTCGGTAGCTAATATGGGGTTTTGGGGTTTTGGGGTTTTGGGGG